CGTGTTGTTTCCATGTCACTTCTCATGTGTGTTTGGTTGTAAGAGATGTAGTTTTTGAACAGAGACAAAGTTGAATGCGATTCTTCCTATTGTAAAGCCATGCAGTGTGAAAACAGCTGTGACATGAATACTTTAGAAATTGTGGAGTTTGCACCAAGCATTTGCTAAGACCTATTTCAAATTTCTAATTCCATTTATGTCTAAAACACAGGAAAAAAAAGAAACAGAAAAAATTGTTTCTGCCAAATCATAATCCTTAAGTCATGACATCAGGTGACCAAAATTAAATGTCTAGCCAGCGTCCAAGGACAACTTTATTTTGACGTCCAATAAAGTCGTCAAATTACGTTAATATTTGGTTGATTTTAGGTTGTGTTGGAAAGTGACCAAAATCCAGCATCTGATAGATGTCATAGTGCTAACATCCACACAAAGTCAAGGTGTAACATGATTCAACGTTGATATAAAGTTGATTTTAGGTTGATTTTAGGTTGGACATTGACGTTGGCCTGACGTTAGGTTCCAATTAAAATACGTCATGATGTTGGGGTACCTTGGGGTACAACGTCAATATGACGTCATGTTGACGTCCTGTGCCTACAGACTTTTTACAGATAAACAATGATTTTGAAGTGTTCCAGTCAGGTTTCAGGCCTTATCACAGTACAGAAACTATATTAGTGAAAATAACCAACAATTTACTCTTAGCTGCTGACAAAGGCTGCATCTCTTTACAAATTTTACTTGATCTCAGTGCTGCATTCGACACCATCGACCACAATATCCTCATAGAATGCTTGAATTCTACAGGTGTCCAGGTACAGGCTCTGCAGGGGTTTAAGTCATACTTAACAGAACGTTACCAGTTTGTAAATATAAACAGACAGCTTTCACAAGTCAGGCCAGTAAAGTATAGGGTGCCTCAAGGATCAGCTTTAGGCCTTTTGCTGTTTATAATATACATGCTACCCCTTGGACACATCATTAGAAGACACAAGATCAGCTTTCACTGCTATGCTAATGATCTTCTAATATATATTGCAACAAAAATGTTCCTCACCACTGTTGCCACTGGCTTGCTTAATTTTGGAATTGAGGAGATTTGCTCTTCGGTGATTGGACATTTAGCAGTGAAAATGAAACCACACTGAACTGAACTGAACTAAACTAACACAGTTTCAATTTACTAGAACTTCTATGTTAAGCTGGCTTTGACACATATGACATAAATAGTCACTGTATTGCTCTCAGTGTGTGTGTACTGACTACAGTAGATGCTTGTTTAAACTAGACAACCTTAAAGTAAGCAGTCTTTGTGTATTCCACCTTGAAGGGAGACTAGCAGACTGAGGGCCTACTCACACTATGCCATCCGTACCGTGCCCAGGCCCGTTTCCCGAATCGTTTGAGAAGTGTGAGTGCGCTGAATCGCGCTCAAGCACGGTTCACTTGGCCGGCCCTGGCCCGGTTGGAAGAGGTGTGCCTGAGCGCGGTACACTTGGGCTTTGGCGTGGTACGCTTGTGTGTGAGCGCAAAACGCGCCAAAGCCCGAAACCGAAAGCGAGTCGTGACTTTTAAGGGACTGTTTGATATGGATTTATTAATCATTCTTACTGTTCAGTGAACGTAAACTGCCGTCGTTTATTAAAGACGCAAACTCCTCACAGCACGCCAGCTGCGCGCCTTCAGCAGACCTCCTCATTCCTGCAGCACGAGAGCTTTATGAATGTTTATGAGCGCCAAAAGTGGCAGATCTGTTCGGCGAAATATCTGACTGCGTGTCACCTCATCCCTAAGGACTGTTTGGCGAAATATTTGACGGCATATCAAACGACTGAAACGATATAACTAGAGAAATCTCCACTGTGCTACTGAGAGCGTATGGCAAGCCGTTTTAGCATTTAAACCTTGTTCTGACTATCCATAAATATATTTAGAGATATCTCTAATTATATTTTGACTAGTCATAATTATAATTCCACTACTCAGAATGACAATTAGAGATATCTGCAATTACAATTGTACTAGTACGAAATCAGATTGGAGATATCTGCAAATATATTATGACTAGTCATATTCCTCCATTGAGTTCCATTGAAAAATATTTGCAGATATCTCTAACTGAGTTTTGACTTGTCAAAAATCCAATTCAAGATATCTACAACTGTAATTCGACTATTAGTAAATTAATTAGAGATCTTCAAATATATTTGTAAATATCTCTAAATATGATGAAGATATCTCCAAATGTATTATGACTAGTAAAAACTCAGAGATAACTCTAATTACAATTGTGACAAGTCAAAACTCAGTTAGAGATATCTGCAAATATTTTTCAATGGAACTCAATGGAGGAATATGACTAGTCATAATATATTTGCAGATATCTCCAATCTGATTTCGTACTAGTACAATTGTAATTGCAGATATCTCTAATTGTCATTCTGAGTAGTGGAATTATAATTATGACTAGTCAAAATATAATTAGAGATATCTCTAAATATATTTATGGAGTCAGAACAAAGATTTAAATGCTAAAAAGGCTTGCCATAGAGAGCGCTTCTGAACAGCGCAGCAGCGATGACGTAAGCGTGCCGAGGCCCGATATGGTGTGAGCGCGGGCCGTCGGGGGAGACGGGAGGGGGGACAAGCGTGCTTTGGCCCGGTTCGAGGCAACTGTACCTAGTGTGAGTACGGCCTGAATCAGAATCTGACCTCAATAGCCTACTGGATGGCTGGTTACATCTGACCTTGGTTTTCTTTTCCAAGAAGCAGTCACCTGAGGAATATGCCTTGAATTTTGCCTCCATATGTTGAGATTGTCTATTCATTTCTATGTTTTGACCAACAAGAATATTTTTACTTAAAGGCATGACATTTTAGTGACCTTCTGTTAGAGTATAATTGCTGTTGATTTGATCTGTACGCAGGTCGGCCTACAAACTCTCTGTGAGTGTTGAAGCTGACTTCGAATGATGAAACTGCAGAATATTTTCTTATTAGTACTTTTTAAAATAATGTTACATAACACTGAATAATTCTGTGATACTTCTTTAAAAAACTTAATGGTCACTATTTACTGATAAATTATGGACAAGTAAGAGCAGTTTTTTTCACCCTTTTGTTGTTCAAAAAAGAAAGTCTGTCAATACAAAAACACCAGCTCAGAAAATAATGACTTATTTTTCACTCTTTGTTCGAGTGAAATAACTCTTTGAGGCCGTTTTTATCCAATATGCTGTCACTCACCATGCAGATGCTTTCCAGCATAATTCTCTTTTTCTCTTCCGAAGTCTGTCTTTTCAAGGTTATAAGCAATTTCTGCATTCCCGCTGTAGTTGTGTGAAATCTGATATGGCCATATCTGTCCCTGACCGATCTCAGTACATCAAAACAAGACAAGCACTCGCTGACACCGTCCATGAGTCATGCCTCACACAACCTCTCTGCCCATTTCTCCTATTCTCTTTTCTGTCTAACATATCTATTCATCTTTTCTGATATACGTCAAGGGAGAGAGCAAAACTCCTTTTTCATCTAAAGACACTTGTTTGAGCATTGGCCAGTGCAGAGCTTTTGGAATATGAGTCCCTTGAGCATTTATTGTAAACTTTCCTGTCGGGGAAAAAAAATCTGAAAATAGATCATTAGATTAGGTTTAAATGTATATGCTAATATAAACCATTGCAATAGTATCTATACATTTACTTAAAATACTTTTGTTTTAGAATTGAATAGAGTTTTTCTGAAAGTACAACCAGTCACTAATCTGTCTTTTAAATTCATATTTTTAATAGGAAGCTATACAGCATTATATTTGTACATATACATTGGAGTAGTCAGTGCTGAAGTCAAATCTGGAGCTAATCTAACAAAATAACTCACAGTACGATAACTTTCCTAAACCTAGTACACCTAAATTTATATGTTATAGAAAAATATTAAATACAAAAAAAGAAAAAATCAAAAAAAAAAATTTTTTTGAAAAAATTTGTTCTTTAGCTTGAATTTTATTGTATTATCTTTCTTTATTTATAAATATGTTTGGTAGCTAAAATATTATTTTAATAAACATATCGGTTTAATAAATCTGTTTTGTTTAAATGCACCAACATACATTGCCTATATTCACTGAGAAATGGAATGGGGTGTACTCAGTTATGCTGAGGACTGTATATGCACATAAATGTGTGTATGTGTGTGTATTTATTTAAAGAAAAAAATAATTATATATCTAAAATGTATTGCTAAAGATAGACAATAGCTGTCATCGTTTTAATTGGACTAAACACTTTCATTAAAGTTTAAAGAACAACACAAATTCTTCTAACCCACTTCAAATATAAATATGACCGTGTGTGTGAGTTGCATATGTTTGTTTTTGCATGTGTATAAACATATACTAACAGTAAGAAGAATACATGAATAACATATTGAGCCTCTCCACTCGTACATATACAGCTATTATGACCATTATGGTCACAAATTCATTGCAAAGGCCTGACTGCTATGAATATGCACAATGTGCTTTTAATGGATGTCTCCATCTAAATCTGTCAGTGTAATGGAAACAGAGCCTCTTCTGATAAGATTCCATAAAAGTCTCTCGTCACTCGTTTAGCCAGTCTTACCAGTCCTGTTCATATTTGTTGTACACACAAGAATAATATTCTTCATTTCACTGCCAGCTCCTTCGCTAGGATGAGAACAAAGGTAAAACCTCTTTCCCCTCACTTATTCATTCTTTCAGAGATAGCTAATGGCTTCTAAAAGCTTGTTGAAAAGTGCTGTAAATGTATGGGGTGGTAATCTTGTCATTTTAAAAGCATCATCCATTAGCTTGATCTTGGTGGCACAAAAACACATTAATACAAAGTTGAAGACAGAAGTCATTTTATTAACCTTCTTGTATCATTTAAACGACAAGGGAACTAATTCAAACCAAAAGTGACATTATCTCTAAATATTTTAGGGAGGTTTATGAATATCCCAGTGCAGATATGGCTACATGCGAAGCAAGCAAATCTGGTGGTAAGATTCACATTTACATTCTCCAGTGTTTTTGTAGCATCTCCAATGGGATTTTCTATTAAAGTAAAGTTGAAACCCAAGTACGATCAATCTGTTGATCTATAGACAACAGGGTACAAGAAATAGTGGTTTTGATATTAGGCATGCATTGTCTCTTATTGGCAGGAGTCCAGTTCCTCTTTGATTTGAGGATCGTGTTATTGGGAAACAGAGCAGCAGGGAAAACCTCTTTGGCAAACCTAATAACAGGTCATGCGGAGCCTCATCTGAGAAGAACTGCTCAGTGTGTGAAGATGCATGGAGATTTTGCCGGAAGGCAGGTCACTGTAGTTGATACGCCAGGCTGGTGGAAGAACTACTTGGTAAAAGAAACCCCTGAGTTTCAAAAACAAGAGATTGTGCTAAGCATGGCTCATTGTCCTCCTGGGCCCCATGCGATTCTCCTAGTTATTCGCGTTGATGCTTTATTCAAAGAAAAGCACAGGAGGTCAGCGCAGGAACACCTGGAGCTTCTGAGCGAGAGAGTCTGGAGTCGGGCTATGGTTGTGTTCACTTATAGAGACCAGATACAAGAACAAACTCTAGCGAAAGGCATTGGAAGTGAAGCGGAATCGCTTCTGCTTTGGCTGGTGGAGAAATGCGGACATAGATATCATGTTATCAATACTGAGAGATCCACTGGTACGCAACTTACTAGGCTATTAGAGAAAATAGATGCCATGGTCATGGGAAATGTCGGCTGTCATTTTAAGATGGACAGTAAGTGGTTGCACAAATTGAAGGGAATAATATCGAAGAGAAACTTGAGAGCAAACCAGAGGGGCAAGATGGTACAGGATCAATGGGAGTCTCTGCTTGTACGACAAGGTACTGTAAGAACCTGAGATCTGAATTATTTCTGTTAAAGGTGCTGTATGTAAGTTTTTGACTCTTCTCAAGCATAAAAATGCCATAATATGATTGCAGATATTTAAGAAACATGCAAAGTGAACATTCTTGTTAAAGTCAGAAGTCAGATATTCTGCTTTGAAAATGTCTGTTACGTTCTGTAACGCTGACTTTGTTTTGGTTCTTTTAACCCGGCCACTGCTTTTATTTCAGGAAAAATTGATTCATTCAGTCAGGACGGCTTTCAAAGCATGCGTCCGTGACCGAAATTCAACCTCTGGTGGACAGTAGTAAACTCCAAAAGCAGTATCAAACTGTTCCACATGATGTTATTAATTAGCAGTCAACATTTGGTGAGCAGGTTACATTGTAACTCCGTGTCCAAAATGCTACAGTATGTGACAAAATTGGCAGCGATAAGCAATTTGGCTGTTTGCACCAGACCTATTCAACCATTGTGTGTCAAACTTACATACAGACCTTTATGAGTTTTTTTTAAGAAGCCACCTTAAATGTAATGTAGCCTTTTGTCAGGCTTGGAAGATTTTGTTTTGTGTTGTCGACATGCTGAGAAGATACTGTTTTTTGTGGTGCTAGATGTAAAAATGTTGTAGAATACCTTTAAAGCAAAATTAGAAATCATTAAAATAGCATGCGAAGGAAAGTTTATAACAAATTTTAAGAAATTGATTAAAATATTCTTACTGTAAATCTATTGAGGAAATCTCAAATATTATTTAAAAACATTAAAAAAACTGTTTGTAGGTTAACTTAATTTTACAGTTAAAGTCAGAATTATTAGCCCCCCTTAGATTTTAAATTTTTTTTTAAATGCTTCCCGAACTATGTTTAACAGAGCAAGGAAATTTTAATATTGTTTTCTTCAGGAGAAAGTCTTATTTGTTTTGGCTAGAATAAAAGCAGGTTTCAGTTTTTTTAAACTATTTTAAGGTCAAATTTTTTAGCCACTTTAAGCTATATATTTTTTCGATAGTCTACAGAACAAACCATTGTTATACAATAGCTTGTCTAATTACCCTCCCCTGCCTAGTTAACCTTATTAACCTGATTAAGCCTTTAATTGTCCCTTTGAGCTGTATAGAAGTGTCTTGAAAAATATCTGGTAAAATATTATTTACTATCATTATGGCAAAGATAAAGTAAATCAGTTATTAGAAAAGAGTTATTGGATTTATAGAAATGTGTTGAAAAAATCTTCTCTCCGTTAAACAGAAATTGGGGAAAAAATAAACAGCGGGGCTAATAATTTAGGGGGCCTAATAATGCTGACTTCAACTGTATATGCAGCCCAAGATATTACTGAAAAAAAAAAAAAAAAAAAAAACACACGCACATTCCTGCCATGTTTACACACCCCCATAATGTTGTTACAAATGTGTATGAACCAACCAGCCCCCCTCCTCCTACGTAAAAGTAAATAAGACATGAGACTTTCAAGATTCCAAAATCAACAAAACACATAATCCTAAAAAAAAAGTATTTCAAGTGATTTATCCACCTTAAGAAGTTTAAATTATTTTAAAAAGTCAAACTCTGTATGAGAAACTACAGATTTCACTCTCACATTTTGTATCCCCACCCACTGACAGTTAAATTGGATTTTCAGGGAAAGTTGCATTAAGAGGAACAGCTGACAAAGTAAGCTGAAATGTCACCATAGCTATTGTAAAGGGGGTCCACACATTACTCTGTCAGCTCTAGTTGGAGTATGGTAAGAGAATAAAAATAAAAAAGATTGCCATGGAAGGTTGAAGGCATTTGTCAGAAGGGTCACCCTGTTCCTTTTCTTCCAAATTAACTCACAGAACAGCAGATGTTTAGTTTCCTCCCTCCGTTTCAAACTGCTTTTATAGTTTGATAGAGACTTCAAACACAGCGGTTTTTCAGATTTTTAGTGGTGCTGTTTTCTCCATATTTTTCCACAAAGTGAATATAAAAGATTTCTGCAGCTGTGATTCCAAAACCCTTAAGACTAATTCACCACTGGTTCCCTTGAGATTGCCAATCGTTTTTTTTTTAGAGTGGTTACAATACACGAATCACTTTCAAGGACTTTTACCTTTACACTCCCCTGCTGATAGAATGACTTGCTTTGGTTGACCTGAGAAATGACTAAAGACATTTTTTCAACATCACTTATCCTCTAACTTTAGCACTTGCTATTCTGTTTCTAATTCGGTTCCCAGTGAATTATAGGTTTTGAAGTTCAGCGTATTTGGCAAAACGAAAGATTCTTTATCAAAATTCTTTTCAGATAGCATGGGCTTCAAAATAGTTTTTGCCTTTACTACATATTCAGCCATGTTTCATTGAATCATATTTGAGTTTTTTTTAAGTCTCCTCATTTTGTTTTGCAGGTACAATACAGTATATTTACATCCATCCAAGGCCAAAACTTTTTCATTTAGTCATAACAGACATTTAAAATCCTCTAATCTCAAATGATTCAATTTCAAATGAATCACACTCATAACGTGTTTTGAAAACAAAATCCTTATTACCATGTTATATTATATGCTCAGGTTCTACTATCAGTACAAGTAAAAATCTGGTGATGAAAAATTAGAAGAACCCCCAGCTTCCATCACTGGATGTTTCCTATAGTCATTTTTGCTAAGTTTGTGGTACATTATGTGATGTTATATCTGTGTAATAGTTGTGTATGCTCAGTCATTTCACTGTTATTTCATTATAAGAGAATGTTTGTATGTATTGCATTAACATGTAACATTGGATGTTTCAGCTTATATTAACTTATTGTGTTAATTAAAATTGTGGAGTATGCACAATTATAGAGTTTTTAAAATTAAAAGTGCATCAGTTGCTCTAAAATATGTATTTTTAATTCTTGAAATTATGTTGATAAAACAGCAAAGGAGAGCAAATTCATTATTGATCTACACTCACCAGCCACTTTATTAGGTTGACCTTAAAGAACCGAGTTGGACCCCGTTTTGCCTTCAGAACTGCCTTAATCCTTCATGGCATAGATTTAACGAGGTACTGGCTGCACATCCAGGATGCGAATCTCTCGTTTAACCTCATCCCAAAAGTCCTCTATTGGATTGAGTTTGTTGACTTTGTAGGGCATTTGAGTACAGTGAACTCATTGTCGTCAAGAAACCAGCCTGAGATGATTTGTGCTTTATGACATGGTACGTTATCCTGCTGGAAGTAGCCATCAGAAGATAAGTACACTGTTGATACAAGGCAGGATGGATCCATACTTTCATGTTGTTGACGCCAAATTCTGACTCTGACTCTGAATATCGCAGCTGAAATCAAGACCCATCAGACCAGACAACTTTTTTCCAATCTTCTATTGTCCAATGCTGGTGAGCCTGTACAAATGGTAGCCTTAGTTTCCTGTTCTTAGTGACAGAGGTGGCACCCAGTGTGGTCTTCTGCTGCTGCAGCCCATCCACCTCAGGGTCCGACATGTTGTGCATTCATAGATGCTCACCTTCGTACCTTGGTTGTTTTGAGTGGTTATTTAAGTTACTGTTGTCTTTTTATCAGCTGGAACCAGTCTGGTCATTCTCCTCTGACATCTGGCATCAACAAGGCATTTGCGCCCACAGAACTGCTACTCACTGGATATTTTGTTTACACAAAACAAATCGTGCCATGTCCAAAGTCACTTAGATCACCTTTTTTCCCCATTCTGATACTCGGTTTGAACTGCAGCAGTTTGTCATGACCATGTCTACATGCCTAAATGCATTGAGTTCCTGCCATGTGATTGGCTGATTAGAAATTCGCATTAACAAGCCGTTTGACGGGTGTACCTAATAAAATGGTTGGTGAGTCTATGGCTGTTTCTCAATATGCGTTCTTCAGCGGTCTTGCGTCCTCGTGTTCTCGTGCAACGTCATCATCAGCTGCCTAAGTTCAGTTCCAATACTCAAGACCGCAAGTACGGAGGACGCGTGAAACTTCCCGGATGTGTTCTTCATATCGAGGACGCACCGATGCAGACTTGAGCACTGAACTCAGTCTGGAAGTCCCAGAAGTCATAGCGACTGGAGGTGGGAAGCGCAGCATTTTATTTAGATTTATTATTAAAGTTCAGAGATATCACTTATTTACCTCAGGAGTTTCCCTAAATGAAACGGTGAAAGTAAACATTAACATGAATATCTTAATAAAGGAATAAACACATTAAGAGTTGTTTGTTTGCTGAAATTCGTATTAAAATCTGTATTATTTATATTGTGCAGAGTATATTTCTAATGTTTTTATGCAAAGTATACATTTTGAAGAGGGGAAAAACAATAAATCGTTGTATAAAGGCTGTAATGTTTAAATAATTTCCATTTAAAACGCGTGAAGGTCACATGACCATCAGGAAGAACGCAGCATCCCATTTCTCAAAGGACGCGTTCTCTGCCCTCGCGGTCTCCTGAGTTCGTTATTCTGAGGACACCTGGCAAGACCGGTCTCCACAAGAACACAAGTCCGTTCTCTGCGTTCTTGGAATTGAGAAACAGCCTATGTAGATCTGTCACAGAAGTTAAACTGATTGTTCACCAGTTCAAAATCTAGCCCTTTTTTTAGGAGAAAATAACATTATTTATCACATGATTTAATCGTTAACTTTTGTTAACTTTTTATTAACTATTTTTAGAACTTTTACATTCACAAACAGTTGCAGAACCCACTTTATGGAAGGCAGGTAATGGAGCGCTGACGTCTTGTAAAGTTCAGTTCCAAACCCTAGCAGACACACCTGGTTTAGCTAATCGAAATCTTACTAGGCTTTCTAGAAACATCCATGCAGGTGTGTTGAGGCAAGTTAGAGCTAAAATCTGCAGGACACAGAGTTTGAGCAGTCCTGTAATCTAACAATCAAAATACTATATGAGTGGCACCAAAAAAAACAAAGAATTACCAGTACCAGTTTGTAACCTAAAATGTTTGATAGTTGTTGTTCATGTGTGTTATCTTACTTTTTTGTCAGCTCACACTCAAGTGC